ATCATTCACAACGGTCGAAGTGAAAACAAGCCAAACGTCCGTCAACCGAGGAAGAGATAACAGAAATGCGCACGTAACCGATGGCCACATATACACCGGGGATCTCATAAGACGACTTCCTCTAATGACGCCGCGACCTTCGTAGTGTGTTTGCGCGCTCTTTCACGTTCGCACAGTGGAAACACTCACCTAACAAGTACTCAGAATGTGCGCCTGTCGTTAAGCAGCAAATGACAAGTATGATGAAATGTTATTCACCCTTAAAGGAGACATGAAATGCTAACACACGCCACAGCTCGGATAGACCTTGAAAGCGCTATCATAAGTGAAGTAAACCAGACACAAAGGGACAGGTCCTACATCATTCCACCTGTGGGCTACTTCCCAGTCAAATTCCTAGAAGACTGGCTGAGAGGAGTGAGGAATTATTCCTCAGTGGGTGTAAAGGAATAGCGGTGTTGGCTGAACAACAACGTGAATGATACTTAATGCTGGTGAGTCCTCACTTGAAAAGTTGTACACCTAAATGGCCGTGAGGTAAGCAGATGTATACTAATGACAACACAGAGCAATGTTTTAAATTAAAACAACATAAGATGGGGATTAATAAATTAAAGTACATCCAACTTTAGATCATCATCAAAAGACAGCATTTGAGTGCATAAAAAGTGAAACTCAGAATGAAGGAACTTAAAAACTAACAGCCAAATCAGGGTGGGGTGCTTATGTCTAAAACACATATATAAGAATCTTGTATGGCATGGTGCCTGCCTGGCAAGCGCAAGGTCCTCAGTTGGATTCCCAGCACAAAAAAAAAAAAAAAAGAATCTTATAAAACTAATAAGATATAGTTTAATACAATAGAAAAATGGTGAAAAAGTGATTGAAGAGGCACTTCACTAAAATGAGAAATGATGCAATAAAAAGATGTCAGACTCGCTCAGTACCGAGGGTTATATAACTTGAACAAAAATTATATTCACTATATACTCACTGGTCTCCATAAGATTTAAAATGCAAGTATGTGACCATCCCAAGATTTTCCAAAACTCTCAGTCATATGCAAATTTCATACACCACTGACAGGAAATTGGCAAAAGCACTTTGGAGACCTGTTTGACAATAATCTCTTAAATTTAAAAATATCCACACTCATTTTTTTATCTATGTGGGACAACAGAAAAATACAGAAATGTTTTAATTATTTGGTAAAATTTATTAAAGTAAAAGACACACTGCAGTGATCTCCCTCAGAACGCTCTTCTCGCTTTGCACGCACTTATTCCGCCATGCTTGCCATGTCTGAAGCAGTTCCACAGCAGCCTTCCTCTGTGTCTGCTGGTGCACCGTAACAGCTGTCTCAACCTCCTGAATTCATTCAAGATGTTTACCCTTCATGGTCATTCTGATTGGGGGGAAGAACCAGAAGACACACGGTGCCAGATCCAGCAAATAAGTGGATGAGGCCACACAATAATTTTTCATAAGCCTGACTTTGCATTGGATGGCCCTCTGCACCAATGTTTACCATATTTTTTATGATACCTTATAAAGACAAAAAAGAGGTCTTCCAGAACTGCTTCCGAAAGTACGAGAAACAATGGGATAAGTGTGTTCAAAGCAAGGGGACTATTTTGAGGGGGTTGATGGCAATGTCTTTTATGATACTTTTCAAACAAAAGTTTTCACCACATATTTTAATCATACTACAGCAGACACTTGATTTTCAAACTCAGGTCATTCTCAGCGGCTGGTTGTAACTCACGCTGGTTGTGAGTCAAGACTATTTTTCATAAGAAATCTATTTCTATTCTAAAATTTAAATTCTATTTCATAAGAAATCATGAAATGCCCATAATCTGTTCCAAAGCACCCCTTAACTACCTTTTCATAATAACACAGGGTTGCATAATGTGCATAATCTACCAGAAACACCAACAGTTTTCCTAGTGTATTCACCAAAAAGCTGTAAAATGTTCCCAGCTCACCAGAAACAATTTCATACTCACTCACCATTCGAGTGGACGTCTCTGGCTTGCAGGAAGGGAGGATGGAATGGAAGGCGGTTACTGTTTGGAAGGGGAGCCCCCTTCCAGAAGAACATCAGCACTCTGGCTCTCTGGGGTCCTTCCTCTCCTCGAGAGAGTCTGTAGCCTACCAGGACGTTCTGGCTCACTATGTACTCAGCCTTCTCACAACTAAAAATTGGTCTAAGGTTGTCTGTTTCTGTCTTTTCTTTAACACTGTCCTGTAGAATGACATGACACTGTCATTAAGCAAGTGAATGCAGTAACTGGCTTTTTCTCTATCTGGGTGGGTCTTCTCTGCAAATGTTTGTAGCTCTCTCCATTGTCTCAGGATTTCCTTTATTTCAGAAGAACTTTGCTGCACTGATTGTTGACACTCCCCCTCCTCTTCAGAAATCTCCTTATCTACCATTCTCTGTTGCTCAGCCAGAAGCTATGGATGCTCACCTGTAGACAGTTCCTCCGAGTGCTCCTCCACCAGCTCCCCAACATCACCACCGTCTACCTGCAAGCCTATGGACTCTGCTACAGGGATAATGTCAGCACCACTGGGCCCACTGAAGACTCGGGATCCTCTACACAGCCTTCAGAGCCTCTCTCCTGTAAAATTTTAAGCCACACTTTCTTCTAGGAAGATCTCAGTGTCCTTAGAGAGACACTGGCCCAAAATTTCTCAACCCTGTTGATCATGACTTACTAATTTGAGTAACACCTTTAGCAACACTAGCAGGTTTTTTTTTTTGTACACGAAATCAAACTCAGGACCTTGCACTAGACAGGCAGGTGCAGCGCTGCTGAGCTATATCCCCAGCCCAACACTCGCTTCCTTGTACAAATCTTCTCTGTGTAAGACTGTCAAGATGGTGGGTTTCAATATGCTGAGCATATTAGCAAGACTGGTCACACGAACACCACTCTCATAATTTGCCCCAGTTTCCATCTTCTTTCCAACTGTGATTGCTTTCTTTACCTTTCCTTGCTTCCCCAGCTTCTTCTCTAGCTCTTTGGGGCCATCCTGATAGCAGTAACCACAGCAATTTTATACAGCACTGAGCAAAATCACATCCACAAACATGCACGCCTGGGCTCAGACTGATGCTTACGTACGCTTACACAGGCTTTTCCGGCATCATGAGTCTCTGCTTACAGCCGCACAGCAGTCCACATTCGGGTTGTAATTCAAGACTTTGGCCCGAAGTTAACCTAAAATTCCAGTCTTCATCCAAACTGTTCATATGTGAAGCCTGTTGTAACTCAAGGGTCCAATATACTCCGCAAAGGACATGTACAAAAATGTTCACTGAAGTATTATTCATGTCTGTAATAGAAACCAATCATTAAATGTAGATGAAAATTTAAATTATGATCCATTCATAAAGTGCTGCACATCCATGAAAACGAGCAAACTTCAGTTACATGCTAATGCACAGTAAGAAAACAAAGAAGCCAGATGCAGAAGGTATACACAAGCCAGTCTTGGTGGCACACACCTATAATCCCAGCACTCGGGAGGCTGAGGCAGGATGATCATGAGCTCAAGGCCAGTCTGGGCTACAAAGTGATACCCTATCTTAAAAAAAATAGACATAAAATATAGCTCTTGTAACTTCAAAAACAGGCATAAACTGGGCTGCATGAAAGTTAAATCTTGACAGGAGCCATGTATGGAGAGGAGAAGAGAATGAATGGAACTAGGTTCAGCAGAGTTCTGAATTGCTGACCGTGTTTTCTTCACCTATATACATGTAAGTCTAGGACATAATTTGTGGGACCTGAGCAAAACAAAAATGGGGGGCCCCTTATGAGAGTCTAGATTGATGGTAAGGTTGGGCAGGGCAGTACATCCCTGTAATCACAGCACTCAGGAGGCTGAGGCAGGAGGATTGCTGCAAGTTTGAGGCCAGACTGGGCTACATAGTGAGTCTAAGACCCATACACAAAAAAATTAACAGTAAATCTTTGAACCAAGTACAGGTCATTTCTGAGGGTGTGACAACATCATGCAACTGGCCTTGCTGTTACAGTCACATAACTCTGAAATACACTGTTTAAAATCGTTCTTCCATGTTTGATGTACTTCATAATATCTTAAATGGTTAAAATTGATAAAAGTCATTAATGTGTACTTTACTGTTGAAAGAACAAATAAGCCATCACTGGGGTCAAGAAGACGTTTTTAATATTTCCTGTATCTTTGTGAAGACAAGTGCGACATAGCCCTTCAGAGCCCGAGGAGCAGCGACTCACTGCCTTATAATGTTATGAGATGACAGACCACCCCAGATCTCCAGGGATCCAAAGACCCCCACCTGAAGACCCTTTGCTGCAAAGTGACCTCCGAGGATATGTGTCCTTTATTCTCAAACAGGCGTTGGCCCAGGGCCTGCTGCTTTGCATTTTACAGACAAATGCTGTTAGAGGCATTTACGGGAACTGGGCTTGCTAACTCCGGGAAAAGCTAAAGCTACATGAGCACATGGCAAGAGAATAGAAGAGAACTTCACACACCTATGTGTGCTTTGCAGCTGTCCTAGGTTTGACCCAGAGAAAGAAACGATGCACGTGAATACCGGGATGAATATCACAAGAACATAATAAAGCAAAGTACCCTCCACCCCAGGTGGGGGGTCATTTGTTTCCAGGTCTTCCGCACTGCAGTTTACCAGCACATTCCTAGCACATAATGCCAAGATAGCCTCCACACAGGTAATCTGGAAGGGAGCGGACTTTCTCTAACAGAGTTTATTCTTTCCTGAGCCGTTTGTTAGCAAAATTCCCACTGACCACTGGAAAGCTGTGGCGTAAAGAAAACAAGACAGTGAGTGTCTCCGGAGGGCCAAGAGCTGGGGCGACAAATGGCCGGAGGGCCTCCAGCAGGGCTCTGCAGAAGGGCCTGGGCCCAGGCGGCCTGAATATCGCAGCCTCCAGCTCTGGCCAGGCTACTATGCTATACCTTCCTTTCCTGCTTTGCAGTGCAGTGGGCCTTGCATGGGGCCTCACATGGCTGTGCAGCACAGACAGGTCTTCTGCCAGACCCGCGACGGCATCACCTTACCGTCCGAGCAGTGCAGTGCCCTCCCCAGGTAAGAGAAAGCCCGGACTCCTTCCCCGGCACGGGAAAACGGCGGTGACCAGACTCCCACAGCTCCCACAGCTGAGGGATTAGAGGCCCTGGTCGTTCCCTCCCTCACTCCACGCACCTCCCACCCCGCAGAGAGCGACGGCTCAACAGAGGCTTTCTGCTTGCTGAATGGGCCGGGCTGGGCTTGCTGCTGGTGGGGACGGAGCAGGCGGGGAGCAGGTCCTCTCATGGAGGGTGGCGACCACGAGAAACCCGCACTCGGCCCAGGTGGGCAGAGGGCGAGGTCCAAGGGCCGCAAAGACACCCCAGCCCCTCACACCGGTTAACCTCTCCTTACAAGTGAGGACGTGACGGGGGCCTCGTCTCTGGGTTCCAACTTCTCGCCCTACCCAGCCCCATCCCTTCCCGTATCTTCCTGTGGATGTCCCCTGGGAGAAGCGCTCATGACCCCCAGTTAAGACCCCAGTCCCCGAGACTGGCTGCCAAGTTCTGACTCTGCCAGCCTCCCCCCTGAGTACGGACCATTCTCACACCACCCGGTGACACAGACCTTGTGAAGAAGCGCGGCGGAGCCCCTGTGAGGGGGGCGTAGCCGTGAACACGCCCATTCCGTCGTGGCACACAGGTCTGGTGACACTGAACGCTCCTGGCGAGTTACCGAAATTCCCAGATTTGTAGCGTTACTTTCACATCTCTCCCAGGTCTCACCCCCCAGACACACACTCTAACCCTGTCCGCCTCTCCCCGCAGGCCCGTGAGCTCTCAGAACTGCTGGTCAGAAGCCTGCAGTGTCCACTGGCGGGTCAGCCTGTGGACCCTGTGCACGGCCACCTGCGGCAGCTACGGCTTCCAGTCCCGGCGGGTGGAGTGCGTGCACGCCCGCACCAACAAGGCTGTGTCCGACCACCTGTGCTCCTGGGGGGCCCGGCCTGCCAACTGGCAACGCTGCAACATCACCCCGTGTGAAAACAGTACGTTCCAAGCCCAAAGGACTCTGCAAGTTCCCCACGGGGCCCCGGCTGCGGAGGGAGGTCCCTGGAACTGAGCTGGAACACAGGCCACGGGGTCAGGCTTCCCAAGGACTCAGCTGGGGCCAGAGCTGAGCACTTTTACTGGGCGGCCTGGGTACGCACAGAGATGTGTGTCTACGTGCCCGGCCGCAGAAGGTGGCACGGTGTGCCCCGCAGGCTTCCACGGTCCCCACTGCGCCCGGAGAGCCAGGTGCGGGGTGCCCCTGGCCTCCAGCTGCCTGCAGTCAGACTGGCTGGTGCCGGGAGATGGCTCACAGGGGGCTCTGAGGGGCCAGTGTACCACAGGAAAGCACTGCTAAGGCGGAAGGAGCAGTGCCTTCCGCCCAGCCGGCTCTGCCCCCGCCTCTGCCCTGCCTCTCCCTGAGTGAGGAGCTGCTGATCACCCCCTCCCCAGCCCACGGGCGGCCCCTGGAAGCGAACGGGAACCCGGGCCTCACTTCACTGCCTTCTCCCTCGGGTCTAGAGCTTCCTCAGCACAGCACCAGCATTTGTATTCCAGCTGGGAAGGGATCTAGTTTTTCCTTCTCTGAACCCAAAGCCCAGAGTGGAGGTATTTCCCCATTTGAAAAAAAAATCTCGAGACAAAGAATAAGAAATAAAAACAAACATGGGAGCGCAGCTGTCCACCAGACTGAGCTTCACTGAGCAAGACTCAACACTCACGCAGATGCCCCGCGGCGCACAGCCCCCCACACACGGAGAACGACCGTGTCTGTGCTCTGCGACGTACCGAGCCACGTTCGCGTCAGTGGTGCATCGCCCTGGGAAGGTAGTGTGCAGCGTGAGCGGCTAGACTCAGCAGAGCAAGGCAGCACCACTGTTTAGGAACTATTTAGTCTGTGTCAAAACCAAACTGGAACACCATGTCTGAAGCCTGCCGGGCAGAAGGAGTAGGAAGGCGTAAGAGGTGAATATCAGGAAGCAAGGCTTATCCCGGAGAGTCAGGCCCGAGGCCTGCGGAGGGGGCCTGCAGCGGGGCCCTCACTTGCAAACTCCCTCCTCCTGGGGATGTCTCAAAGCCCAGAAAAGGGGGAGAAGGCCAGCAAAGAGGTTAGGGTGTGAGGGGCGCTCAGGAGGGGGGGGCAAGCACCGGCAGGAAGTGAAGGCAGAGAGGACCCAGACGCGCCTGCTGTTCAGCCAGACAGTGCCGGCCGGTGCTGCCCCCGCGCTGGCAGCCTGTGGGGCAGATGGCCAGGCTCAGCCAGTGGGGACTGCCCTGAGGGCCTAGGGCACGGTGGCCACGGCCGCCTGGGGCCCCGCGTGAGCCTCTGTCTCACGCCTCCTTTCTGTCCCCCCCATTTCCCAGGGGAGTGCAGAGACACCACCAGGTACTGCGAGAAGGTGAAACAGCTGCACCTCTGCCAGCTCAGCCAGTTCAAACTGCGCTGCTGTGGAACTTGCGGCAAAGCGTGAAGACAGGGCCCAGGGAAGAACTCTGCCCTGGCTGCAGAGACTCACGGCAGCCACCTCGGACAGAGCTTCCACTCCGTGTACTCGCCCTGCGCCCCCAGCTGCCCACCTCCACTCCTAAGGCCTCGCAGCTTCTCCTTCCCAGCGAGCTGGAGGACAGACCATCAGGAAAGACACACGGCTGATGTGTGAGGGGCGCGAGGGCCAGACGGCAGCGGCTCCCTCGCACAGCTGGCTCCTCTCAAGCTCGGGCTCGGAAAGGACAGCCCACGGGACAGGGAGCCCTGAGGGCTTGGACAGTATTGGTGCAAACCTCGGACTAACACGCCTATGTCTTTCCCACAAGCGAGCTGCTAATGCAAGTGTCCTTGTCTCCTCCTCTGCCTGCTTGGTGATGATAAGGACGAGAGGGACTCCCGCCCAGCACTCGGCTCTAGAGGGAACAGAGAGAAGGGAACTCCAGTGCGCGGTGTGGAGCGGGAAAGGAGGAGACGATCGAAGTAGGCCTGAGGAAGGCACACAGCGATGCGGAACAGGAAGGAGGGAAGGGACAGGAACGAAGAAGCCCGTGTGCGTCCCTCGGTGGGGAGGGGCAGGCAGGTCCCGTGAGACAGGCTGTGAGCCCTGGTGCATGCCTGCACCTCCATGGGTTCAGGGGAGGTTCAGGGATGTTTAGAGTCCTGCTGCCCTTTCAGAGCCCCCCGGGGATGAGGGAGCGTCCCTGCTCCCTACACTGAGCAAACCTTCTGGCTGTGCAGCTACCACAAAGCCAGCAGGAGGTCCGCGTCCAACTGTGCGGCAAAGCTGCTTCTGGCATCTTCTTGTTTTAGTCGAGTCCCCAGCTCTGAACTAACTGCTGCTGTTGGACAGGGACACGCTGAGCATGAGCAAGCCAGGCTTCCCCCCTGCTGGCCTCTGACGGGGACTGGCGCCTCTTGGTCAAAAGCAATTTGCCAGAGAGTATCCATCGATCTGAAGCAACCACCTCCTCCCAGAGCTGGCCGGTGGGACGGCGGGTGGCACGCTCACTGAGTTCGTGCATGCCCCTGTGGGCACAGCCTGCCTGCCCCAGCCACCGTCCCTCGGGTCTGCAGGCCCCTCCTGGAGCACTGTGAGAGCCGCTGGACGTGGTATTTATACAGCAGGCTAGGGTGGCATGAGGAGGAGCCAAGGCAAAGCCAGAGGGTAAAGACGCCTGGTCAGTCCTCAAAGCTTTCCAGCCATCCTCCCACACAAGGAAATACTATAAATCGTATATTAATTCACAGAGCACAGTTCTGGTGACTCAGCTACTCAGCAAGCAAAGCAGTATATGCACTTCTGCAGCACACACAGCTTCGGTGGGACCCTACAGCCAAGGCAAGAGACAGAACAAACACCGGGACCACGTGGCAAAGCGCTCATTCGGCAAGAGCAGCCATGCGCAAGTAATTTTCACCTCGTCCCACTGAGTGGCCCCGGTTGAGTGGGGGGCAGCCAGGCTCACCTGCTCCTCAGATAAGCTACCCTTCTACACATACGCATGAAATGCCACTTACCCAAGGCCGTCACTGACATCGGGGCTGCATTTTCCAGCCAGCCTAGAAGTAAAATTTGGGAGGAAGATAATATGAATCTATGTCTTTTCTAGTTGAGCAATAGGTGATTAGAGTGGGTCTCTTTCTTCCTCACCACAAAAATAGACTCTAAGAACTCATGTTACTAAAAGTCAGTGTCATGTTTATTTAAAATAAAAGAGAATGTTTTCTATGTATATCTTTTGTGAATATTTATTAGGATTTCTTGTATAAAAAAGTGCAATATTAATAATTGTCATCCTGAAAAACTATTGGGAGGATTTTTTATTAACTTCCTGAAGCTGTGTTTCTGTAAACTCAGTGGTGATTATTACATTTTTCCTATTTTTCATAGAGGCTGGTGTTTAACTCTGGACCCATTATTCACTGTGTACAGAATATATTGTAAAAGCTAATATGGTGCGATAGAGGTGATTCATTTGTGACATAATATTATGCATAGAATGATGACGACAAATTCCATACTGTTAATGCAATTGATTAGCTCTAGCTCAACGGCTATTGAAAATCTGCAGTAAATATTTACATTTCCGAAAAAGCAGGCAACTTCCAGCTCCACCAGCTGTCAGGGTGCAGAGCTGGTGATAGGTTTCAGAGCAAGCTGAGAGCCCAGGCTTGGGGTGGGAAGCGCGTGCTCCTTGCATGAGATGAATGTACATTTAATGTTTGTTCTGTGAATTGTGACTCAGCAGTACCACAGATTGGTAGGGCTGCTGGATAATGTGGAAGGAGGCACTTCCTCCTCTAAAACACAAAACGGTTATTTATATTTTTTGTACAGATAATACACCTTATTTATTTAAATCTTGTTGTCTGAGTCTCTGTTAAGTTCAGCCTTCCCATCGTGTTTCGTTCAGGGGGTGAGAAAAGTTCCTGTCAGTTGGGTGGTTCACAGCCAGCTATGTGCATCTGACACAGAAGAACTACAGCTGGGGCTCTGCATCGGAAGGGCCAGCTCTCTAGCCCCAGGAGAGCTGCGTTTGTAGCTGTGCATGTGTGTAGGATGAGTGCTGCCAAATGAGACGACCAGCCGTTTAGAGCGCTGTGCGGCAGGAAGATGCGAGCCACAGTATCCTCCAGAGAAAGCCGAGCAAGGGCCCCTGCGGAGAGAGGAAGACCCGGGAGGGCTTTCTCTCCAGGTCAGCCTTGAGCCGGTACTCAGTAGGAGCCGCCTGGTGACAGCGTGGACATTAATATGGACTGACCTTTACAGATCACTACGTGTAGCCTTCCCAGGAACCCATTAGCACACGCACACACGTGCACACACCATTCCTCCCTCCTGCTTTGAGGTCGGTAGATGACGACAGTGGGACATTCTATGGAAGCTGTTGCTTTTCCCTCCCATAAAATCAATTCTTTTGGATTGTTTTGGTTTATAATGTTCCTAATCCCCCATTTTTAAAGCATTTTAATAAAAATTAGATACTATAAAAAGTGTAAAACTAAACAAAATTATCTTGTAGCGTTCTTCATAAACAGGCTATGGTCTTGGTTGATGCCCAAATAGAAACTGGGGTGAGACGCATGCCGGAGGACCCGCAGCCTGACATCCAAACATCAGCGCGTTTTCCAGCACTCCCCAGCACATCATATTCCTGCTGAGCAGTGTGATATTTGCAAAAAGCTCTTTGTGAACTTCTAGTAATTTTCTAAAAAGTTTTAGGTTTTGTGTTAAAGAAAAACCCAATATTAGAAGTACAAGTTTTCCAATACTCTAAGAATATGAAGCCAGGAATTCCATAGGCCCACTAAGACCAGAACTGTCAACAGTCACCAAAGTTCATTTATGCCCCAGCTGCCTGATCTATAAAAGTAGGCTACCTCAAAGCGTAGGGCTCTTGTGAGAAAGCGTTAGCTAATTCATGTTAAAATATATACATGTAAGGGTGCTACCACATCATCAAAGCACTCATTCAACGTTAATCGTTATTTTCACCCAAACCACTCTGAAAGAGACAAGGAGACGAAGGGCAGAGATGCCACGCTTTTTGCTATTCCACATTACTTCCCACTGTCATCTTTCAAAGACTGTCCCTTGTGTTTTCATTTTTGGTTGAAAAGGAAACCAATCATTCAAAGAACAATACTACACATGAGGATAAACAAGACATATTAGCGGACCAAATTCCAGGTCTTGGAAGAAAACAGATCAGTCCACACAACCAACTCCAGAACTCACCAGTATACCAACAAACATCCAGAAACACTTCCCAGGACTAATGTCATCTTAGAATCTCAGCACACAGCCCAGCCTCAATTCCACATGCCCAGATGTGCACATAACTACCACTTCCGGTGAGTTACTATAGGCATGGAGATGCACTCAAGGAAATGTGCAGACAAAGCAAAAGCTGAAATTAAGGACATCTCCTTTGGCAATGAGAAAGTTTCTCAGAAACAACACAGTACCATCGCCTCACTTCACCCTGCAAATAAACCCAAACGAAATAATCCAACTTTGTAAATAGTTTCAGTTGGTTTGTAATTCAACTTTGTAAATGGTTTCAGGAGACAAGTTAAGGCTCAATCATCTATCTGTGGGGCTCCAAAAAGTAGTCAGAGTCATCCACAAAGGGTAAGAAATGGCGTAAGGGATAGAGCTTCAGGAAATAATCCAAAGAAAATTAACCGATTAGGTAAATTAACCCGAGGAAGGTGGAACTAGGAAATACAGTAAGGTGCAGTGCCCTTGGCTTAGTCCCTCCCTTCCCCTCACATCCGTGAACCAGCTGTAATTAGAACTTCATCAAACACTCAGTCATCACTGAATGGGAGTTACATAGGGAAGGTTATCTACCCTTGCCACATACTGCCAATTAGGACAATGTCCGTGTTGATCCCAGCCTTGAAGTAAGGAACTGAACACATAAGGAATTCTCCCGGTCCTTCAGGTTTAACCATAACTTACTGTTCCCCCACCCGTCCCGTCCACTTAGAGGTGCTTTATGGGTCAGGAGCCTACCGGACTGTCAGAAAGTGTTGGCATTTGCCACGCCTCAGCTTCTTATTCATAGCACGCCAAGGCTTTCCACTGCGTTTTGCCACCCCTAAGCCAGGAGGCAGATGTTGGTAATTAAGCCTTCGCGAACAAGACCTGGGCTGTCACCTTACTTGTCAATTTGAGGTTTACAGCTTCACTCGGATAGCTTCTGTGATGCACCTGGTCTCAATCAGCCCCATGTGTCACACCTCTGATAACACAATATACACATGTCACTCTCCTCTGTGTTTGCAAAAGGCAAAATCCGTCTTCAACCGAGCATTCCCCAGGCTGTTCCTAAAGATATGGTTTATATACGTGTAAACAGAAGTTAAATGTGCAGTTTTATGTGCGAGGGGAGAAGGCAGACAGTGGGAAATAGTTCTCCTGCCGAACATAAATAATGTTTAAGCAGAATGCTTGGGGCCTAAGAGATTGCATAGTCAGCGTTCAGATCAGAAAGCACGCCTGGGAAATCTCCTCCTCCAGGACCTCACGATGGCCAGGGTTAACCTCGTTACGAACCCCATGAATGATAACAGACAAGCTGTGAACAACTTGAACCAGGTAAGGAACTCAAGAAATGTTTAACGGTCGAGGTCAGGGGGAAGTGACGAAGTGTGTTACAGTGCTGGCTTTCTTCCCCTGCTTCCTCACCATCATTTTTAAATAACGAAAGGGCCGAGAAATGACTTAGCCGAGGCGAGTAAAAGGTAACAAGGTTGGTCAGTCACGTACGCAGCTCTGCTCCACGGCTGGAGACCAGCGTGGCACAATGCCAGGACACCCGGCAGGCCGGCTCCACGCACTCCTGATCTGAACTTCATCCTGCACAGGCCCCTCCCTTCTGAGGTGGGCAAACAAGCCTGCCACCGCGAGTGCAAGGCCCCGTGCCCTGAGCCCTCCACTCTCTTCGTACTGCCTTTATTTTTCCACCTGGGTCCAGCGGGGATGGAACAGGACTTTGGTCCTAGTGATTTCGTTTTCCTCCCTGCCAGGCGGCCTCCACACCTCCCCATCCTTCTGAATTTTGTTTCCCATCATACACCTTTCTTTTCCCACCCAGACCCAGGCTTGCTGAGCACCAGCTCTGGGCTCTGTGGACTTCTCAGTCACCTTGAGAAGCAGACACACCCCAAACAAATGACGACGTGTCCTACGCCAGTGGCGACGTCCAGAGCCAGAAAACCTCCAGCTCTTCTTCCTCATTTGACTCTTGCCACTGTCGGCCCCGATGATCTCTTCCTTCAGTCTTGACCCTTTCTCGGGGACACTTGCCAAGTTCTCCGGTCCAGACCCTTGAGTCCACTCTGCTCTGCTCCAGGCCACTTTCCGCGTAGCAGCTAGACTGACTGTTACGTCGCCTGCGAATACGTCCCTGTAAACTGACTGCGCACATGAAGTTAAATTTACATCCCAGGGACAGTGAGCTACATTTAAAATACCCAATCATAAACACAACCGCCAGATCCAAACATCGCGAGAATTGAGAATATTATTATCTAAATCTACAGGAGAGTCTCTTGATTACACAAATTTATTAACTATATACCAGTAAAATGTGCAGTGCGGAAGGGCTGGAAATGGTACATTGCATCGGTGCTTACATAATCTAAGATTCCCACTGCTAAGGCTTGAGTGTGCCCCTTCCGAAGCTCCGGGGCTGCCACTGCGGTGGTGTTACAAGGCGGCACCTTGAACGGTCATCGTGAAGGCCCTTCCCTCATGACTAGGACCAGGTGTCCCGTCAAGGAGCCTGAGGGCAGGAGTTGAGTCCCATGTCTGCCATTCCACTTCCTGCCACATAAGGACACAGGGCTCTTCCTCTCTGAAGAATGAACACAGCCTTCAAAGTTGAACAAAGCTTCATCTGGGAAGCAGAAAATAGTCCTCGCCAAATGGCAACGCATTGATCCCAGAGTTCTGAGCTCCAGAACTAGAAGTTAAATCTTTTTCTTTATAAATGACCCAGTCTCTAATATTCTGTTATCATAGCACCAATATCTAAGGCAGCACCATGCCCAGCAGCCTGGTACTCCAAGACTAGCTGTAGCTGTCTTAGGTTCTGTGCCCATCTGTTGGCATGATCTGACCCCGGGAGTGTTTAGCTGATCATTACCGTGGGAACATTTCTCTCCGCAGTCACATGCTTCCTGAGGGCGCAGGGCTGGGCAGTAGGCCTTATTCATACCCGAGGGGCAGGTTACAAGCTTCTTTGGACTCTTGCTAGCATTTCCGCCTGTGCTTGGATTTGGCCTCACTGCCATGCACCGCTCTCACCACTGCGGGTGAGTGGACTGTTGGCTGAGAGAGTTCGAGCCCCTCATTATGGAGCCACTGTCTTTACCAGGATAACCTGAGAATTAACGACCAGCAAAAATGGCTTACGTCAGGTCACAAAGAGATCTTCTCAAAGGCTGGCTGGCCCTGTACCAGTCTTGTCTTTGACTTTCTATACCTGCACAGTGTCAGTAGGATATGGACTCGACTCCTTAAAATATTCTCAGGCAAACCAGCATGGTCTCCACTCTAGCCACTCTCTCTAGGTGACTAGCCTCACAGATTTTTTATTTTTTGGCAGTGTAGTGCTAAGGATTAACCAGAGAACTCATGCAGTAAGCTACATATCCAGTCCTTCTTTCTTTTTTATTTTTATTTTATGGAAAAATAAAACAAATTTTATAACAAAATAATAGAAGAATAACAATAGTTAATACATTCTGTTGTTATCTTCAAAATAGTTAGTCTAGTGTACAAGATATGGACATAAAAAATTCTCCAAACCATATTCCTTCCTTCTTAAACTTTGTTTTCTATAGGG